TGAGTTGGAGGCTCCGGCGAAATTATTTGTTGCAGATACCGAAAATTGTTTGTGTCAACAATCAAATTTTGACACATCCTCACTGCGCATGCGCAGAAAAAAATAATGCAGCGATGCCAGTTACTTTAGAGATCACATAAAATATGTACCTTGGGTGCCAAACAGTGCCAATGAGTGAGCCATGGTGTGCCCTACTGTGTTTTTGGCTCACAGTGCTGAGTGACCTACCCCTTGGGTATACAGTCAGGAATCCTTATTGCCGGGGTAACGGGGGCGTGAATAAGGAACCGCGAATAAGGATACCCACAGCTTATGGGATTTTCACTAATGGGGGCTGTAGTGGATTATCTCATTTGTTTCAATACATAAAGCTATACTGTCTTGGACAAAGTTGCTGTACTGGGTTAGACCAACAAGCCTGTGCCATTGGATTAAGGTTAAATTGGGAACTACGCCGCTAGAGGCGCTTCACTTTTATCTTACTTATGACGGGCGCTATAATATATGGATCATATTTCCAACATAGAATATTTCGTGATCCTGGCCATATAGAAAGTTACTGTTTTCAGCAAAGTTGTTCAGGTGACCAAGTCTTTTCGGATGGTGGCCATATTAGTTCAGAACTCTGTCACTACGCAGCGCTAGTGTGCATGTGCAATTCCTATATAAACTGTATCTCGAGAGCCTGGCCATATAGAAAGTTGCTGTTTTCAGCAAAGTTGTGCAGGTGATCAAGTCTTTTCGGATGATGGTCATATTAGTTCATAACACGCTCACTACGTGGCACTAGTGTGCAAGTGAATTTCCTGTATAAGCTGTATCTCGAGAACCTGGCCATATAGAAGGTTACTGTCTTCAGCAAAGTTGTTCAGGTGACTAAGTCCTTTCGGATGATCATATTAGTGCAGAACTCTCACACTACGCGGCGCTAGTGTGTACATGAACTTCCTTAATATGTTATGTATCGAAAGCTTGTCCATATAAGATGTTGCTGTGCAGTGTGAGAACAGGAACAGGAACCGGAAAAGGGATGAGGCCGGAAATTGATGTCAGATGCCATTTTGGAATCCAAGATGGCGGCCATCGGTTCAAGAAAAACTGTCAAATACCCTATAATACGGGTATTTCCGGAAAGGGAACAACGTGTAGAGGCCAGAAATCGATGCCAGACATCATTTTGGAGTCCAAGATGGTGTCCATCGGGTCAAGAAAAACTGTCAAATACCCTACAATATGGGTATTTCCAGATAGGGAACGACGTGTAGAGGCCGGAAATCGATGTCAGACGCCATTTTGGAATCTAAGATGGTGACCATCGGGTCAAGAAAAACTGTCAAATACCCTACAACATGGGTATTTTCGGTTAGGAGATGACATGTAGAGACCGGAAATCGATGTCAGATGCCATTTTGAAATCCAAGATGGCGGCAATCGGTTCAATAAAACCCTCTACACGTCGTTTCCTTTTCGGAAATACTCATATTGTAGAGTATTTGACAATTTTTCTTGACTCGATGGCCACCATATTGGATCCCAAAATGTCGACGACAGGTTTCTTTGACTCCCTATATTCAATAACTTTCCTTGCTATCGGCATTTCAAAGCAGAATTCATTTGACCCCTGTTGTTATTATTTTGTGATGTCAAATCTATATCTCTACCCTGGTGCTGTATGGACAGTGATTTTTCACTGGAGACCTGGCCCTAAGACTCCCTTCTGTGTTTGAAAACGAAAACGAAAAACGCTATTGACTTTTTTGAAAAATGTGTTGTGTCCCCTTGCATCTTAGCTGGCTATATTATAGCTTATATTTGAAATGTTTATTATTTGTAATTTTATGTAATTTTATTCATATGAAGGTCTCAAATTGAAACCCCTGCTCTTTTTCTTATGATTTTTTCCCTTTGCATAATTGGAGGTGAAAATTTTGCATATGAATTTATCCCTCTGGTCAGCGGCACTGGTGTTGTAGTGGTAAGCGTTATTACCTCTCATCCCAGCAGGCCTCGGTTCAAACCCAGTCGGCGCCTCCGGGATGTTCTGAGGCATAACATCTCAGATCACGCCTTCCTACTGAAGGGAAGTAAAGCCGTTGGTCTCCGGTTAATGAGTTGATGGGTCGATAGGTAGGGTCCAGGTGTGGGAGCTGCCTCCCTGGCGTCGGTAGCATTGGTGCTCAGCACGGAAAACAAGATCGACGGAAAACAAATCAAGGAGAAATTGGATTGAAATTAGTAAAATACACATGATGATGTGAAGAATCTCTGGCAAAATCAGGAATGCACTGTAATTTATTTGATCTACCTTCCCTACTGACGCCAATGTAAAGCAAGAGTCGTTCAAAAGCACCCCGCCTCGTATTGATGTCGTTTGCCCCTGTATGCCAAAGGAAAAGCACCTGAGCATTCCAAATCTCTTAAAAACGTTGCTGCCTGAAACACCTCGAGATTAGCACTTTCCAAATAATGTGTGTCATTTGCCACTGCGAGGTCCACCGCAGGCCGCCAGTCAGCCGTACGACGAGAACGAAAACGAATTTCCCCCTTATAAATTAGCTTAATTCAGAGCTTAACCATTGATGATGGCTTTCGTTCGGCACGGTTCAAATTAGCACCATTCCATCCATCAATCCGTCTGCGTGGTTGTGTGTTGCCAAAATGTTTAGACTCGAGCCACCAGCCACCGTAAACCAGACAGACAGACAGACCTAAATGCTTAATCATGGCAATGACTTTTATTTATTTTTTCGCGATGTTTTCCGATTCTCTTTTATTGGACGAATGCCGAGCCTGGGTGAGAAAGGGTAGCTGTAGTTTTTTTTTATGACCCTCACCAAATGATCTCAGTCGAAGGGGACACGAACAAGAATCAACACAGCTCATTAGTCAAACTGCGGTGCCCGGCAAAAAGAGTTGAAATTTCATCAAATTGGCATCTGAGATCACCCCAGAGGACCGGCCGGACTCCGACTTGGCAAAGTCCGCAGAATAAATCAATCATTGTACTGAACTCTGGAGTACGTGCAATTTGTCCGGTTCTACATACATTTATCGATGTCCTACCACTTCGATCATTTTCTGCATATATTTTGTATATGTGAATGTTTACTTTATGCACACGCTCTTTGCTCGGCTCAGTCAGTGTGGTGTGCAGTATAGAGGAGCTAGGAGTGTCTGTTTGGTTGCGTTATCTTATCTTCACCGACCGGCTGGCCGTGGGCAAAACAAAAAGCTCTTTTCAGCGTTTCCCATCTTTTCATTCGTTCGTTTCGCATCCGCATGTCCGGAAAGTGTTACAGTGCGTTCCAGAAGGGTGGTGTCACTTGTGCAAAAAAAGAAACCCAAGAGAGAGACTGCTACCTAATGTGAGTTAAGTTGTGGCTGTGGGCTGGGCGATTTGAATTATGGCTATGGAAATTGATTCGATTATTGCAACTTATTCTGCACAGCTTTTAGTCCGAAAACGGTTTTTTGAAGTTTTACGGTTCAGTTCAACTATCGAAGACCTTTTACTAGTTGGGCTACGTACTTAGCTTAACGATCGTGATGTGGTTGTTATATCAGGGAAAACGTCACTACCACCTTCCATAAGAACGGCATTCCATAGATGCTACTGTTCTTAAACTAGTTGAACAAAAATACATTGAGACAAAAATCGTTGGTATATTTTTTTAATAAATAAGGATTCGCTTTGGTAAAAGATTTGATAAATCATGTGGGTACGTTTAGAGAGAAAAAAATATTAAGTAAAAACGGTCTCCATTAGGCCACCGAGCCCCTTTCATCACAAAAAACCACTGCAATTGATGATCAGTAAAGCCTGGAATAAAATTGTTCAAATGAAATGACTCCTGCGGAAGAAGTCAACTAACATGTTATGGTATTGGCTATGTTCCAGATTCTGGATGGCATGCGTCATATTTTACCGAAGATACTTTATTCAATTATCGTCAGCGGGGTAAACAACGTCCTTGAGAGCTCAATTTGGGCATGTAGATACATTGTGTTTCAGAGCATCTATTGGCCAAATTTGAGTGCTCTAGGACTTTGTTTACCCTCTGACGATAATAGGTTAAGATATTGCCGAAGCCGACATTTCCCCTACGTACTTTTCAAACAAAACAAAAATCTAAAAAAAAATACAAACAACGGTTGCTTACATTTTTATAACAAGAAAGAGCCTGGGATTGAATCTACAATATTTTTTGGTCTCTATTTTTGTAAGCATTTTTTTGAATTTTGCTGCATGGTCAAATTACCTTTCTGAAAATTGCATTTATTCATTCAGAAGCCATTGAAAATCCATGTAGATTCGATTTCGATTGGTCGTTATCGCCAAACTTTGACTCCACTGACAACAACCGGCAACCCACAGTCCAGGCTATCGCGATCTTAATAGGGAATCTTGGTGAGCTGAGCTGCTTGGCGATATCTCTCTTACACTTGCACTTCCAAACAGAGCAATCAAAGGCTCGGAGCGTGTCGGAGAAATACTCGCTTTGCTCTGTGGTTTGGCTTTTTCAGTAACTCGACTCGAAGTCGAAGCCGCCCGTTCAGTCTCGGTTTGAAATTGACACACAGCAGCCATCAAACGCAAAAGCAGCTGTTTGAGAGTGGCGTGTTTCGTTTTTTCCTCTTCAGTTGTTTTGTGTTTTTTTTTTCGTCAATAATTGTTATTTATTAGATATAACGCGGACTCACGTCATCTAGGTACTGTTGTTTTGCTACTACTCTGTTATATCTGCTTGTTTTCTGTGTTGCGGGTTGCACTCTGTCGAACTTCTGCAACGTCGTCGTCGTCGTCGTCGTCGGCAAACTCCAATCTTATCGCGCTGCTAATTATTCGATATTATCCGTTTGTTTCTGTGTTTCGTTTTCTGATTTATATCTCGTTATTTTTTTCCCGTTTTCGGTTGTTTCATCCATTCATTCATCATACCCGTGCGGATCAATCACCGAATCAATCAACCACCACCACAACCATCTGAATCAATCAACAGCAGCAGCAGCAGCATCAGCAGCAATATGCAACGAGTCCAGCGATCCAAAGGTTAGTGCTGCATGCCGAAACGCTCGTGCGGGACGAGATCTTTGCAAAGACTCCCAAAACTGCCGTGAAGAATCCGCACTATCTGCACCACTATCACCATCATCATCACGGTAGTGCCAGCGCCAGTGGAAGCAGCAGCAATAGCCATCATAAGCTTTATCACAACCTCCACCATCACCACCATCATCATCATCCGTCGTCAACGACGTCCTCGTCGCGTCACCATCAGGGCACGGTTAACATCAACGGTGGTGGTGGGGGCAGTGGCGCCGGTGGTACCAGCAGCAGTCGGAAGGCGGAGAAAGTGATGAGCAATCTCAAGATCAACCGGATCGAGGTGAGTGCAGTTGCTTCTTCTACATGGTTTTACATGTTTCTTGTTGCGAATCGTCTATTGTCTCGTGTTAATTAGATTGCTGCATGCTGTTGCGAATTGCTTTAGCGACTGTGTTTCGCAACAATGTTTCAATTTCATTTGGAATCGAAGCTTATTTTGATGCTAGGATTTTGCGAGTTGGCAAACATTCGACTGGTCTCAAATCAATGTGAGTGGTTTGTTTGTTGCGTAAATTGAGACCGGCAACCGAGAATACGTAAACCAACCAGGAACTCTATTCGAAAATTTATTGTTCAAATTTAGTTTAATGCAATTAAAATTTTCAGTTTTTTTTAAAAGTAGGAATACGTCTTTCGGCCTCATATTAGGGGTGCAATTAAAAAAAAAACAAAATCGACCGCGTTATGAAAAGTGCTTAGATTTTGACCACTTACAACTCTTCCAATAGTGGATGGATTTTAATTCTAAAGAAACCAATGGATTGGAAATGTTTCTACAAATCTGCACTTTATAAATTTTTATTAGGTCACTATTGAAAATTACACAAATATCCAACTGTTGCAATGGTGTTCAAAATTATCACTGATTGCCTGCAAAAAGTGCTTTCCCTAGCACAGATTTCAAAGTCGAATTCCATCCGGTCTCGCCGAATGGTGCTTATTCAATCACCGTGTGTGGTGGTGTCCGGTCGGTCGTTATCAGCAGCAGCAGTGCTTTCGGCGCGTGGCGTTGAACATGGTTCTCCAGTACGCAACGAAAGGCTGCCCGCAAGCAGCAAGCTGCAGCCCACATGAGCGTCCATTCGCTGAAGAAGGAGGAAGAAGCGGCACAGCTACTGATCGAATTCAGTAGCTCTTCGTGAGTCGCTGTGGGCCATCTATGTCCGAACTGATCACACATTTGCTGAGATTTTTCCTAAAGAAAATTCTGGTCCAATATTCTGGCTTTTTTAATTAGCGATTTTGAAAGTTTTCTAATCCTAAGGTGTCGAAAAATGGTTTAGGAAAATGTACAAGCTCTAGACATTTTCTGAAAGACGAGGAAAATTTGAGCTATTTGCTCAATTATCGAGAAAAATTCATGTTGCTGAATCAAGAGTCCTTTTTTAAGTCCATTAAAAAGTATTGCATTCTTTCCCGGGCTTGTAATACGGGATCAAAAATACGTTAAAAACCGACAATTAACAAGAAACACTTCGAATTAAGGTGATTCCTTGTTGAATCCACAAATGGCCGCAACGTAGGCTATACATGGACTTTCACTTCCAATTTTACAATTACACAAATCTTGGAAATCAGTGCTGAAATTGCTACTTCATGTATGCTGCAGTTCAGCAAACAAAGAGTAACAATTTGAATGTTGCACGTGTCGCAGAAGCTGATATTTGTACACTTAAAGTTTCGAAGTGGTTCCGAGAATAAGGATGTCACAGCGATTCACCTTAAGGTAAGGTTTTCTCCAGGACGCTTGAAAAAAGCAAAACAAAATCTTGAATTTACATGATTGATCGCGAAAATCTCGCGATTGGAAAATGTTAGTAAGAAATTTCTGGCTTTTTTATTATCTATTGAATAAACCAAAAATTCCATGCGTTTTGTGCACGAAAATGCGTATTTTTGTCATCAGAAAACGAGGCGTTTCCCTGATGGGAAGAAGTGTTTTCCCTAACACAGCCGCCGAATATTGATACCGAGCACGTAATCCTACGTCAAATCTACGGTCGTGTCTTGGATAAAATCTCTGACTTTTTCTTTTTCGTTTGGATCTAGGAACATCAATACCTAGTTTAGGATTTCTGACTTATCCTTAGTCCTGATGTCTCTGAAAGCTTAAACTAAGTTTTCATTTTTATATTAGATTGTGTAAAATTTAGATTTTTTTTGTCACTTTGTTTATGAGAAAAGTCATACAAAACATTCTGATCACATACTCAGTGCTGTTAATTTTCATATCATTCGATTGAAGATGAACCAATACAACCATTCAATCAATTCTGTGAAAACGAATTCTCCCATGACCATAATTTGAAGAGCCCCTTTCTCATTTGATATACGACAGTGGAGTATGGAAGAAACCCAGCAAAATTGTCCCGAACAGACAAGTAGACTCGATGTCGGATCAATTTAAGGCATATTTAAGTTCAATGTCGACCCAATTTCGTGTGCTTGTCGGGTAAATTTTGGGTTTATCTAGGATGAATGTCGGGTCAACATGGAGTTGGGGTTTGCTCGAAGTCAGGTTGGTGTCGAGTTGGCTTAGCTTTTTCGCCGGAATGTCGACCAAAGCTCCATTTATGTGTCGGTTACACTCATACAGGAAGGATATCAAGCGTTTCTCAAATGAGAATGATCTATGCCTTCGTTAAATGACTAAGCAACTGATATCACCCATTCGAAGGAGCTGCTGCTTTTCTCATTTTCATCAAAAATGTTCAATTGATTGTGAGAATTTCCAGCACTGCACATACTTACTCAAACGACCCACGGCGTAATACCAAGGCGGCTCAGCTTTCCGATAGCGAGGTCATGAGTCGAAAGCCTTAGAAAAGTCAATGTAAACGGCGTCCACTTACTGACGATTTTCTTTGCTACCAATAAGAGTGTTGATGTAGGACATCAAGTTGAAGATCGTCAAGCGCTTTTTCATGAATCCATGCTGGAACTCCGAGATTATAGATTGCACAGCTGGATACAACTTGTCATGCAGACGACTTTCGAGGACCAAACAATTAAGGATCGAGATAGGTCGGTAGTCATGGCTGAAGTTAAGCTGCTGCAGACGAATGTTGTAGTTCAGTAACTGGTCGATGGAGGAGGAGTTTGATCGAGTTCGAAAACGCTTCGGAAGAATTCAACGAAGAGGTTTGCAGAAGTGGCATCGGTAGAGGAGCTTCGATTACAGCAGGTAACGTCTGCCGGAATACCAGCTGATCTTTTGCGAGCGTTTACGAAAGACCAGAGCGACTATGGGTTTTCTTTGAAGCCACTCAGGAGGTTATCGATATACTCACGAAAGCGAACTTCATGCAAACTGTTGTACTCGGCTTCTGCAAGCTTCGTACCAGACTTGTTTTCAGCAGTCCTGCAGCGAAAGTAACGTTTACGGGCCTTATGCATACGGTTACGCAGATTACGCAACTGCGGATTCCACCACGGTTGTTGGAAATGCACAGAAGGTCTAGCCTTTACGGGAACAGTACCATGGATTACTTGATAAATATTGTCATAGAATACGAACACGGCGGCATCAATAATGATTGGTAAGTTAGGTAATTGCAATCAAACACTGAGATCCTCGCATTAATAGCATTGAAATCACACCGTGCGAAATTGTACTCACAGCGTGCTTCTGGATACGATGACGGATGGTCGCTCAACTTTCAAAACTAACGGCTTATGATGGCGATGAACTTTCAAAATGGCAGACTATGGTTCAAACAGCTCAGTAGGATCTGAATCACTGGCGAGCACCGGGTCGAGAAGTTTACCATTCACGTTGCCCAGATCGCTGATTTGCTGTCAGTTATGCAGACAGTAAAGCTGGGCTTAGACTAGGCAAGTCAAATGATCAACTCAGTTTTACATTCAATTCGCGTTTCAGTCAGATGAATTCAACTGACTTGATCAATTGACTTGCCCTGTCTAAACCCAGCTTAAGGACTCGACTACAGCGAGATAAGAATCCTTGGACAAGCTAGATTCGGTAGCTTGTAACCACCCATAACTATACCCGTATCATGAGGGCTAGCCATTTCAAGAAGCTGTTGACCGGAGTCGGCGTGCTGGGTGTAGGTGTCGAGTTGACTACTGGGACGAATGTAGATGCAACAAAGGAAAAGCGATTAATGTGGTAGTATAACTGGCTCAGCAATTTATTCGAGATTCTCGCAATCAACCAGATGCACGGCTTTACAATTCAGCACGGATTTCACGGCAATTTAGAGACCACCACGTCGTAGTACACTGGTGTGGGAATTCCGGTCACAGCGGTAGATAGTGAAGTTTCTTGACAGCTCAGCAGGCAGTGAATTTATAACAACTAAAATGCCGGAAATGCAACGAGTGACACTGACTACATTTAACAAATCAGGCTATCAAAATATTTGTAGTGCATTGCTGATTTGTGGAGTAGTGTTAAGCTAAAATAAAGCTTGTTCAATCTATAGGGATACAATAAGCTTCATTCACTACTTATCACCTACATATTCAGCCTGATGTTAATCAGCTTTGTACACCTTAAATTAACCAATAATCAGCTTCTATTCTTACTGTTCAGCTTGAATTGTTACTTGGGTAGGATCTGCGTTCAGCACCGGCTTCCAAAAATGCCGGGTCGTTGTATCATCCTCAATAAACTCCCGAAATTCGATTCCTTGTGGCCAAGATAAAGGATCCATACACACTTCGAAATAACTACTTTTACACCAGACGTAATCCATATTTGACGTTAATCATTGAACGTAAAACATTTCATGTAAAATTAGGCGTTCTCCTACCGAAACATAAGCAACACGACGAAGAGAATGTTTGATTGAATTGATTTTCTCGTTTCTTTCAACTGATTCTTGCGTCAAAAGGGCCGCTTACATGTGTCGGTCTCAGAAGACCGAAATTTACACGACATTTTCGTAGTGTGTAGCTTTCGACTGCGATTCGAGGCTGACTTCCACCTTTTATGATACGAAAGACAGTGTCGACAGTGGCCGGCCACTTGGTATCAGCGATTTCACAACAACTTCATCCACATGCAAAGATTCCTTGGCGAGTTTCTCGATGTCTGACTGTGAAACATCGGATGCTATATTGGTTAGGTAGACCCAGAACTTGTCTGTCGGTTTATCTACAGGGGCTGATGCCACGTTGACCACCGTCTGACCGATGCTGCGTAGAATTTTAGCTGGTCGATTAGATGAAGCCTTTTCGTCATCACGGCTTCTTTTTGACTTTTAACAAACACGAAAAGCCAAGGAAGAGGAGATAGTAGCGCATGGGAAAGCTTTTTAAACCCTCCTTGGATCTAATCTCGGCAATCAGGTTGGCCTTTATCTTACTATTCGATTCTTCAATTATTGTTTGGTACGTATCGTTGAGTTCCATCGCAATAGCATTCATGGATGTCAGAGCGTTCTTAAAACGAGCATTACTCATAATGTCGCGGCAGCCTTTACACACAAAAAAAAAACATATTTTTAACGTATTTAATAAATAGCTGTAAGTTGTCCGTTAAAGTTCTGGAAAAACCCACAAAACTAAGGGAAATTGATTTACCTAAATGAGTAGACACCCCAAGTGGTAGGTCACTCCGCATACCAATCTTGGGTAATTTTTTTTGTCAGTGTGCCGCAAGTGTGCCGATTGTGCCAGTCATAGAGCAAGCTGCGATTGTTTGTAAAATACCAATCCTGGCAACCCGGTATTTGTGACATCTTCAATGTTTTGGTTTCAAATCGCAAGGATAAATCGGATTGAGAATGGCGCGGGAAGTGGCGGGTGTGCGAAATGTTGGTGAATAAAGGGTACTAATGGGGTCTGATGAACTGCCTCTTCCTCTTGAGCCCACTCTAGAACCTACATTTCGTATTTAGATCTATAAGTGAACTGCTGGTGTGAGTTCCTCTGGTATGTTCAATTAGAGGATGTTCCTGAATATACATTCAAACAGCACGTAATGTTGTGAACAACTTCAATGACAGTTGTCCAGCAGTGCTCCCATTTTATTTACAACAATCCAATGCCTACGAGATTGTGCCGAAGGTATTTCGAAGGTATGCCAAAGGTGTGCCGATGGATGTGCCCAAGCTGAGCCGAATCTAATTTTGGCACAATGTGCTGAGTGAGTAAGTCACTTGAGGTACCCAGTAGATCGAGAAAGGTGATTAAACGACAAAAAGCTCTATAGAAGCACAACACCTTCGAATTGTTCGAACATTACACTCAAAAAATTCCATTGAAACACATCCATTTCATGTGTGAATCTAATGCTTTGAACCATGCCTATACACTATTGGTTCGAATTGTGACACACTCGGAGTCTATGTGCCTCACATGGTGGTATCAGTAGCTTTATCTCCAAAATTGAATCGACGAATATATAAACAAACCTGCCAGAATGTCTTTTTTAATGGGTCTGATTTGGGAATTGATCCAGGACTGATGGGGTGTGCTGCTTCAGTTGTCTTCGTTCGATCTCACTGGGCCACGATTGTTCTCCTTTATGAGGCTGGTTGATAAGTATGAAGTCACATCTCATGTTTTCAATGTTTACCTTGCAGAACAAGGTCCATATGTTTTGAACAGTAGTATGATTCACTGTGCATTTCAATTTATAGAGAAAGATTATCAACACTTCAAAGTTTGAAACACAAGAAATAAACGTGTAGAACACATTGAACCATGGTGAAATACACTTAAAATAAATGAGATTGTGCATATGATAAATTAAGTGTTCGATCAGAAGTGTGGACTTTTTTGAGTGTAGAACAAATTGTAGGACTATCAGATCAGATCAGAAGAATGATTAATCTTGAAATGAATTCACGCTAAAAAAAAAGTTGAAAACAACGACTTCAGTGACTGTCTTCTTCATCTTCACATTTCAAGCTTATTGCTTATATCATATTTAGCTTATTGTGTGCTCTCGGCTTAGTGCATTAAAAAATCAAAAAGCGAGCAGCCCGGGAAATTCATCTCACTTTTGAGTAAATACACTTTTGGCGAAATTGAGTCGACTCGAGCCAAATTTGAGTCGGTCTGATCGTCCGTATAGATACGAGAAAATATGATGCATTGACGTAAAGTTTTTAGTCTATCAAATACCATGCACTGGGTTATGACCGAAAATTGATTTGTTTTCTCATGAGTCATGCATATATGCATCTGCAACCCACGGCCGAATCAAATTGATTAATCAACCATACTGTTGAGTTGAAGGTTTGCATCATTAAGATGGATCTCGCGATTGGTTCCGTTCAGGGTCGAACGAAGTATAGTTTCGCAGGCTAAAGACCTGCTGGGACCTAGCCTCCGTTCCTTTGGAAGTTTACTGCATCTACAGAAGGTTGTCTCTTATTAATATATGTATGTTCTTTTTTCTCCCCCCAGGAATGGCTCGAAAAGCAACCGCTGGACGCGACCACCACGGCTCCCATCCTCCCCGGTTCGGCCCCCACTACCGATTGCGAAGCATCCGGCGAATACACCGACTCCGATTCGATCGCCCGGGACACGGACAGTTCGGAGGGACTGGCCAACTCGGTTGCCACTTGCCTTCAAGGTGATCAAACCTCCCAGGAGATGCTCGCCGACAACGTGTACCCATCGGAAACGTCCAACGTGTCAAATGATGAAGTCGAATCCAAGAACAACAACAGCAACTCGAATCCCTCGCTGGTGAAACGACGGGTGAACAAATCCTCCGGCGAACGACCGTGGTCCGTGTCGTGCATTTCCCAGCTCAACACATCCGCCGTGGAGATCAACCAGTACGGCGAACGACATGAGACACACTCAAACCAGCGGCTGACGGCAAGCTTCTCAATTAGCGAGTCGGCACTCAACACGATGTCGCCGGTGCGGCCCGGATCGCTGAAACAGACGACGAGCAGTGGCAATGGGAGTCAGTTGGTGGTGAAGAGCTCGGACAGCAAAGGTTCGCTGAAGAAGCGGAAGCTGCGCGCGAGACGAAAGGTAGGTGTTTTGCAATTTTGTGTGCAGTTGTGTCGTGGTGTCGTTTCGTGGGCGATTTTTGATAACGATGGGGACAAAGAAAGTCTTCTGTGATAAGAGGGTTGATAAACAAGTTGGGGATTTTTCGCTGGGAGTAGCACAATTTTGATAATGGCAAGTAGACTCATTGCAATTTATTAGAAAAGTTCAAAACTCAAATTGTAATTTTAGGGCAAAACCTATGTTTAAATTGACGTTCAATTTACGTGTGTTAAATTACTCTGTACCGAGTAGAAGACATCAGTAGTTAAAGGGTTATTTTCATTATCAAGACACATGACCTCATACTTGAAGAAAAGCTCTTCAAACAAGCTGAGATTTATTGCTTGCAGATAAAATTAACAATCTCTCGTCTGCTCTCTTCCCACCTTTAGAACCGCATCGACGAGTCTGGGTCGGACGAATCGCAGCCAACGCAGCCTTCCACGTTGCACCTTCTACAGCACTCGTTAATCATACAGCATCAGCAGCAGTTGCTCCAGCAGCAACAGCAGCAACCCCTGAGAGAAATTCAACTATCGGCCGGAAGTAGTAGTGGTAGTGGCGGCCGCCAACAGCATCATCATCATCACCAATCCAACACCCATCGGGGAGGTTTGCTCAAGTCCGAGTCCTTCTCCGGTCGGATTCGGCTGTCGGATGACTTGGTCACGCTGTCGTCACTGTCCGGGTCGTCTGGATCGCGCAAATCGTCCTCTGCTCGGCAGACGACGAGGTCAACGACCATGACGGCAATGATGGCCACCGTGTCGACGAAGAAATCCGCTCCGGATAGCGAAGAGGAACATCAACAGCAGCAGGCATTGATGGCGAAGCCCCACTTCAAGATCGGTTCCGCCACTCGCGCTCGCTGCGGCAGTCTCAATCTAGGATCATTAGCCGCGTTGGCTAATTATAATCTAGATGGTGTGGAGCGGACCGAGGCCAACCTGATTGGAACCGGTACCGGTACCGAGGAGATGAGCAGCTTCTCGGAGCAAGCATGGGACAACTACCAGGAAAAGTATATGAGCGAACCGTACTCGGAGGACAGGGATACGGACGCAGCCCGGCGTTTGCTGGACTTTGGCGATGACTATCGGAACTTTATTGATTCACAGTCGGACTGTGCATCCTCGTCGCTGTCGGCGGCAAACATGGACTCCCTGTCGCCACCGCGATTCCGCAAAAATGACTCGCTCAGCAAGAGTTCCGAGCCGAACACAAACTCGTTGAACCGGCGGAAGCGATTGGACGAGTACCGGATGGATGACCGATACAGTAAGTATCTAGCCTAACGTCTGATACTGAAAAAAAAATGCTAAAACATCGCAATTTGCTAAATTATTTTTATTCTGAAAATATTTTGGATTTCAATGGGGTAGCTGAAGACCTAATTATTCCAATCCATTTACAATCTCCAAACTTTCCATTTCCAACCCTAGGTCACAACATGAACTCCTGGTCCAGCAAATCGGGCAGCCCGCCGCACCACTCGCTGGACAAGACGCTTACCTCGAGTCGAGGCAAGCACCACGTCCTGTACGAAAGTCCCGACCACTCGCCGAGTGGTAGCAGTGGTGCCGCTGCCGGTGGTGCACTCAGCGGAAGTGGCCGCCGTCGGTCGCTCCGCTCGGTGGACAAGCACAACTCCTTCCTGCGGTCGTTGTCTCACGAGACGAGCTCCAGCTCGAACAACGAGTTCGACGAGGACATGGAAGCGGAGATGAAGAAGCTGCTGATCCAGAGCAAAATGCGGCTGGCCAACACCGAAGCCCTCAAGGCAAAGTCGCACCTGCTCAAGCCGGAGGACTATGTAAGATTGTTGATTTTCTATTTCTGTGATGTTTGTTTGCGCTATGCATGCACCTACTGCTGCTGTCTCAATACGATCCTGTTTGTGTTGGTTTATATCTATGTGGAGCTGTGTTATGGTAATGTTTGAGGAGTGTTGAGAGTTATCTATTAAGGCCGGGTATGATTGTAAATATAAAAGCATTGTTTTCCTACACTTTCTCGATATGCTTTTTTTGATTTCGTTTGATTGTTTTTTTTTCTGGAGGAAAGTCTGTTTTGAATTGGCATAGGACCTCAAAAACTCAACCTCCTCCAGAACAAAGTGTCGTGCATTTAACTGAATATAGTAACAGAGTGATCCGTTTTTCTTCGCGGAACAAGCCATTCGGTGGGTATTTTTTGTTTGAGTTATTCAAAACTAATCGGCATCGCCTCTAACCGCTTCTCTAGTTGTGTTTGAACAGGTCATTAGCACCTCAAAAATCATAAATATAATCCTCTACTCATACAAGCTATACTGATGCTTTGAGACCTGCCACCGCGGTCGTTTTGAAACCACTAATTATGACTAATTATTACCAATCGGTTGTGTGCACGCGGTTTGTCAGATTCCGAATGTGATAAACTGGGTTTAATATGATTAACATGTGCAATTTTCTTAGGCTTAGGTCGAACAAGTCGGCACCGACAAACCGACATGAATGACCATAGAAATTACCACGAAATTTCTGCTCAAAGCACACTACCGACATCTGTCTCCATGTTCGCTTGAAACGTTTATCTAAGCCATGAACACGAGTGCAAAATGTATGGATTAGTTCGTGTTTGATCTGTTCTGGACAAGTTATTTTTATCTAGATGAAAAGTTTCTATGGTTCTGACCGATGGTATCGCTGAACATTTGAATCGGTCGTTATAGATTTTTGAGCGAAAGTTAAGTTTAAGTTTCATGTCGGTTTGTCGGTGAAATCGGTTCAAATAATTTAACACCGCTTAGATTAAAACATCTAGCCCTGTCGTAATATGCGTTAATACAGTGTAAACATCTGTTATGTTGTTTCGGTGCCATCGGATTTCAGAAAAAGTGTCAAATACCGTACAATATGGTTAGTTTCAGAATAGGAACGGCGCATGGATGCCGACAACCGATACTGAACGCCATTTTGGAATCCAACATGGTAGCCATTGGGTTTCAGAAGTGTCAAATACCCTGAAATCTGGGTATTTTCGGAACGAGGACGACGCGTAGATGCTGAAAATCGATACCTGACACTTCTTCTGCTATTGGAATCCGCCATCTTGAATCTCAAGATGGCGTTGAACATCGATTTCTGTCTGTCCTCTACCCACATTTATGAGTATTTAACAGAACTTCCCACCTTTTCTTGAACCGAAAGTCGTCATCTTGAATTTTAAATGACGTCGCATATCGATTTTCAGCCTCTAGACGTCATCTCGATTCAAATAACACCTATATTAATAACGTCGCATATCGCTTTTCGAGAAGTTACCCCCATTCCAAAAATATCCATATTGATCCATTTTGATCATTAGTTTCCACTTTTGACGTAGGACTACGTCTTTGATTTCTATATGGGGTACACTTTGTGAAAATCAAAAATGGAACATGTAACAAAATCATGAAAGATTTTGAACGTTAATAACTCAGCAGCCCCTGGACCTATTGAAAAATGCACGAATGTGCAACTGTTGCTATGAAAATTAAAATTATCACCGATTGCCTGCGAAAAGCGATTTCCCTCACACAGATTTCATAGTTGAATTGCATCCGGTCTCACCAAACGGTATTTATTCAATCACCGCGTGGTGAGTGGTGGTGTTCTCCGGTACACAACGAAAGGCTCCCCGCAAGGCTGACCTCAACCGCTGATCGGATTCAGTTCCAATTATCGTGTGTGGTGATGTCCGGTCGTCGGCATCAGCAGCAGCAGTGCTTTTGGCACATGGCGTTGAACATTGTACTCCAGTACACAACGAAAAGCTGCCTGCAAGCAGCGAGCAGCAGCCCACATGAGCATCCATAGAAGGAAGATGAAGCCGCACCGCTATTGATCGGAATCAGTAGCTCTTCGTGAGTTTCATCTATGTCAAGCGCGTCATACTAAAGAGTATAAATAGAGAGAACCCCGCTCAAATTTCTATTCCTACACAAAACTCAAGCTCCTGCTGCAGTTAAAAAATAAGATTTATTATATAAGACCCCGTAGTCCTACGTCGCGTACAACCTATAGGGCTGTTCCTTTGTGGTTTTTTGCTTAAATCGGATGCCGACATCTTTGATTTCAAATAGGCGTCGGCTATCGATTTCTGGTTTCTTAAGGTCAACACGAATACAAAATTACCCATATTGATGGGTAAACAAACCACCCGACATTGATAAATTTGTCATCCACGTGCACAGAATCAACAAAAGTCAGAAAAACTGTGCAAATTTTGATTGAATAGCTTCGCTTCAATGCGATAGTAAGTTCATTTGACAATGAAAGACGAAACGAACACGAGTCAAGCCAAAACAAACAGCATGAAAACTGATCGAAAGTGGTTCTGTTGATGTTGAAGGGGATCTGCTTGAAGTAAAGACAGAATGATTTTCAACCTCTAGTTGAAGACGGTGTCAATTGTCTTATAGAGATTCCGATGGAACTAAATTCTGAGGGTGGATTCAAAAAAGAATACCTGAGGATACCTCCTAACACTTTTTGTGAGTACCTAAGGGAATTTCAAAGAAGAATTTAAAGTAATTCTTTGAAACCATTCCAAGGAAACTCTAACAAAATCTCATATGGACTTCTGAAGGGAAACCCGAGGGGGGCGACACATCCAAATCTCAATTCTAGATGCTCAACAAATCTCCCACTAGCGAATCAATCTTCGAAAAATATTCTTTCATTTCTCGCATCCACTTGCATCGCGCCTCATCTTTTTACAGGAAATCTTCAGAATCGTGATTAATCTTCTTTCTATCTACTCAGCGTGCGCGCAGCTAGCCGAAACAAAACACAATCTTTCCTGCATCGTACCTAGAGTCGCTTCCCTCGGCGAAACCTGAGGTCAATCGAAAAGTCAAGCGACGACCAAGCTGTCAACCATCACTTTCAATTGAGGGGGTTAGAACGAAAGGGGTGTAAGTGACTTTGATCGATTATCTTCATCGACTTTCTCTTTCGTTAATAATCCAGCTACAAACACATCCCTTGATTCGTGTGCTATTCTGGATGCTAGATGAGAACCTCCTTTATCAAACTATGTGGCAGAAATAGCATAAAATCTGTTTATAGAGCTGTGGCTATCAAAAGAGAAAGTCGATGAAGAGAATCGATCAAAGTCACTTACACCCCTTTCCTTCTAACCCCCTCAATTGAAAGTGATGGTTGACAGCTTCTTCGTCGCTTGACGATTTTCGATTGAAAGTGACTGACTTCAGGATTCCTCTCAGAAGTCCACATGAGATTTTGTTGGAGTATCCTTGGAATGGTTTCAAAGAATTACTTGAAATTCTTCTCTTAAATTTCCTTAGGTCCTCACAAAAAGTATTAGGAGGTATCCTTAGATATTCTTTTGAATCCACCTCCACCCTCAGAATTCAGTTGCTTTGAAATTGTTCTCGGAATCTTTATAAGACAATAGACACCGTCTTCAACTAGAGAGTGCACAGAATGAGCACTTAACACTTGAACAACGAACATCCTCAGAAGTCCTTTTGAGATTTTCTTAGCATTTCCTTGGAATGGTTTCTAAAAATTACTTGGATTTATTCTATTTTGGATCCACCCTCAGAATTTGGTTCCTTTGAAATTGTTTTCGGATTTTTTAAAAATAGAATTGACACCGTCCTCAACCAGAGGTTGCACAAACTGATCACTTAACATTTGGCAATGGACAACACCCAACAACCTGTAGGAAACTTTCCTTTTACGAAAAGTCTCACCGGCAGGAGCGGGAAATCGAACCTTCACTTTGTGGCACATACTATACGCCTGAACGACGGGTGACACCGCTAATTGCACGACCACGAAGCTCACAATATTTGCATTATAATTGGCTTAGAATTCTCCACTAATGTCGTCTTCAGAATCCACCTGGAAGCCTCATTTGAATTCATCTGAATCCATTTCACATGAACTGACTTGGCGTAAAATGTAGAACTATTTACACTAACCATGCCTCAAAAAACCGAACTGGTTCATGAAAATTGCGGCTTATGAAAACACGGTTTTCAAAATCACGGTTTAGGTTAAATGTTCTAATTTCTTCATCACGTTGGTTCAGTGAACCGCGATAGAAATTGTCCTGTGCAGCCTCGGTTTACTGCCCAAGTCCGGTCAGAACTCCATTGGAATTGTCTTCAGAATTACATAGAAACTTTCCTTAGAAGTCTTTTGGATATATCCTGAGAAACTTGATTACCTTGGAATTCTTCTTGGTATAACATTGAAACTCCGCTCAGTACTCCCTTTGAGATATCCTCAGAATTCCATATATATGTTTCTCAAAATTCCCTCCGCATTCTCCTTAGATTTCACATGGATTTCTGTTCAGAACAACATTAGGTTTTCCCTTAAACTTCACCTGGAGATCTCCTCACAATCATCGTGGAGTTGTTTTCAGAGATACGTTGGAATTTAAGTCAGAGCTTCCTTGGGATTTTCCCTATACTAATTCTCTTGAAAGTTCTTAACATTTTCATAATTTGGAGAATGTTTTTTTCAAGTTCTAGTCTAAAAAAATTTTCACGATCCACAGTTTAGATTCAGTGTTGGCAAAATCAGAAACCAATGAAAATTTTTCCGCACTCGCAATATCACGCGTGATATTGGAACAAAATATCATGCTTGAAATTGATTTTACAAGCTCCTTTGATATTGCGAGACTATTCACAACGTGCAAAAATTAATCTGAGAGTTGACTCGACACAAAAATGATTCCATTGCACATCGTTTTCTTAGAAAGAGAAAGCATAGTTTGCTATCTCTTTTTAATCTTCACCGATGGCAGACGCGCTGCAAGGCGTTATGGAAGCTTCGGTTGCATTCGGGTGTAAAGCAAAAATCATTAAACTCAATCTCACCACAGTTTGGTGAGATTTGCGGTTGGTGAGTTTTGTTAGCTTGATATTCCGAGCTGCGATATGACAGCTTGCAAAATCAACCGCAGTTGTTTGCTTGTTGATTTTTGTCTACGAAAATCAAGCGTGATCTTGGGCGTTGGTGAGATTTGATTTTTTGATATTTTCCCAACACTGGTTTAGATTTTATTTATCAAATCTGTGTCATCAAATTTAGAAGATCGAGCGCCAGAATTTTTAAAATTCCTATTATTGTGATTTTTTAAAATCAAGGATCTCAGTCTAAAATTCTTAAAAAAAAATGTCCAACGCTAAAAATCTTGGAAATTCAAGTACAAGAAGATTCGTCTTAGCCTGAAATCTTGAAACATATTTTTAGTTCAAGATTGCCAAAACAATATCCAAGTTCAGTCTTAAATCGAGAGGTTCTTCGTAATCCGATCCATTCAACCTAATATCGTGCGGCTAGGTTCGACATTGTGGCCTTCGATACATTCTTATGAGCTCAGTTTTTTTTACTTGAAAATACAGTCTTACAATAAAAGTTATGTGAATAGTAGAACTTGAACAACATTTAGCGTAGAACTAATTTTTTTTTTCAAAGTTCTGGCCCCGTCTGGCTTCGTTCATATCTTTTCTTTTCACGTTGCAAACGTTTAGACACAGTAGATGTTTATCACCATTCTACTACAACAATATGTTGGTGAGGCTGAACGAATGCATCGCACTGTAGAATCCAAGGAATAAAGGTACAAATTTGAATGCTAATCATAAGTTTGGCTACGCCAAAATCATCTGAGTGGGACGGGGCTTAATATTATAGGCTACTGATTTGGTAGTCAATAATAGTCCTTTTTGTAATAAAACATGGCTTCTGAACTTTATATTAGACGTATGTCAGCCATATGTCTCAGGAATGGCAATTGTTGGTATAGTTGATTACCTGGGATGAACCTAATATGCTATTAAAAACCGATGATGTCCAAAAAAACATCACTCAAGGTAGGTTCCCTATAACACTAACTACTAACACTTTTTCGCTAATCTTGGAACTGCAACCGTTGTGTTTGATTCAAGAACAACATAACCTAGTAATTTCGATAGCATAAGCAATTAATTTCTAACCAAACAATTTAAATCACTGATTGGCATGATTGCAATCCGAATTCAACATCATGCCATTACCAACAAACACCACCACTTACCACACAAACATGATCATCGAAGAGCTTCCCGGGAACCTTCAGTACTAATGCGGTCATCCAAACAAAACAATAACACTGAGCTCCGCTGGATTTTACTTTATTGACTCGAATTTCTTTTTTTTTCCGTTCTTCCTTTTTCCTCCGAAACGCAGGACGAGATCATCAAGACGTGCCGCGAAAACGTACGCTGTCTCGAGACGGTGCTACTGTCCCAGCCGGGAACGGTGCTAACGGCAGCCAAGTGCCAAGACTTGAGAGGTAAGCGGAAACCATCCAAACGGGCAACTCATTCGAAAAAACATAGCTCCTTGACTAGAACACTGATCAATCGAAGGAGTAGGAAAGTGTATCACTTTACTGACAATCAAGATCCCAAGCCATCATCGTTAGCTGGCGAGGAAAGTTTGCGGGGGGATGGTACTGGTATTAGTCAATCAGGAGAGAAAACAACTGAGACTGACAGAGTAGGCGACGACATGGACGAAAATCATGAAGACGACGACGACGAGGAACAAGACTTCTCGGATGACGACAGTGGAGTTAGGGTCGAAGACAAACAATCACGTCGGAAGATCGTAGTAGTCCGACACGAGTGTCGTTGCGCGCGAATTACCCGCTTCATAGCAACCTTGATCGATTTCCTGTTCGATATTGGAAATGTGGTCCGACATTTTAGAATGTACAAATTTTTCGTGGGCGTCCTAAATGGGTTCTATCGCTTGGTGGGTTTCTTCGGACGGAAACCGCCAAGCGACGGAAATGGTGGTGATGGTGCAAGTGGCGATGGTGCCGCGCTCAGAACGTTGTCTGTTGGAATCGTTTGATGAACGAAGGTTTTGTTTTTTTTTGCATTGTATGGGCGCTCACTTTTTTTTGTGTATAAACGATCTGATTTGAGTATCTTTTTTTTTTGCTTTCTAGTAGCAGGTGATAGATTCTATTTAAAGTGTACAAAGTTATTGTTTTATATAAGGTAAAAAAATAACCATCGAAGATAGGTTACCATTCGTGCCAGTTGATCATTATTTTTCCCTCGCACAAGTACGCTTCTAAATCGGTGTAGTTTCCTTTTTGTAATCACAAAGTTACTCGTTTTATGGCACGCTTATTTTGAGTTTATATTTTAAGTTGCTTCATTTCGGCTGTCAATAAAGTTTATTTCAATTATTCAAAATTCAAACATCATCCATTTTGGCTTTTCATTTAGTTTTTAGTTCCTTTTATCCCGTGTGACTGTCTAAAGCATTGCATTTATATGTTTGTTTATTTGTATGTTAGTTTCACGTGTGCAAATGCTTTATCATTTAGAGTGAACTTCTTCCTTTCGGTTTTTTTTTCGGTGCACCTGCTTCTATCTCTATCTCACTGACTGCACTATCTTCTTTCACATCTGTTCTATGCGTAACATCTCGCATCACTAAAGCTACTTTCTTCACGCCTTTACAGAAAATTAAACCCCATCAAAACGCTTTTCCAACAGACAATAGCCAGATTTCCACTAAAACTTAAACAAAATCAACCTCACTTTAGCATGCCAGTAAGCAGACTGAGAGACACAGCATCATTTTGCATGTACAATAGCACACTAGCCGACTACTTAGCTCAGTCACGCAAGTAAACGTGAGACCAGAAGATCCGGTGAAAGATCATCCCCTCCGTAGCGAAATTCGTTGACCTTGCCATTTGTTCTCGACGCACTCGGTTTGTTGAATTGTACAGACGGTGCTGGTGTTATTTGATATGGAAATTGACATAGTGCACAGGTAAGTAGCATCGCAGATCACGTGGATAGAAGGGTGCGATTGAATCTCGGTAATATAATATGGGCTGTTCTGGTTTCTCGGTTTGGGTCAGTGCTTCGATGCTTTATGATGGCATGGGAACATGAAGAAGGTGCCGTACATTATGTCTGCAGTGCTGTATTGTTGCGAAATATAAATGAATAAGCTCAATATAATAACTACTAGCCGAGCAAAGCTGGAGAGCACAGTGAAATCAAAATTTGGTGTTATGATGTAACTTATTTTTAATGCTCCAGTTGATCTCATTTTGGTTGACTTAGTGGTTAACATAAATGAGAGCTAAATTTTACACTGTTGGACCAAACGGAAAGCTAATCCTGCTTTCAATGAAACCAATTTGATTACTGATTTTGCATCCATAATATTTAAATGCATACGGGCCTGGCGTAAATGGTTAACATCCATGCTTATCACGCTGAAACATTCAAATGTCATCCCGAACAATTCCCTTAAATATGTTAAATAAACAATAATCGTTCGTTCAACGACAGATGACCCAAGCAGGGTTGCTTCCACTTACTTGCTATAAAACAATGTTTTTCAAAATTATTAAATTATTAGATGATATAATGATGACCCAAATAATAATTCAAGCTGAATAATAAGAACAAAAGCTGATTATCAGTTGATTTAGGATGTACAAAGCTGATTAACACCAGGCTGAATATAGAGTTGATTAATAGTTCATAAAGCGAATTGTATCCCCGTTAAATGACCATCGGAATAAATCAGGCAATTGTTTACTGCACTTGAAATTGAGAGGAATGAGAGAAATGTAAATCAGCGACTGCTGGTTCGAAACGGTCTTCCATGAAACTTAAAAGCTGTTGATTAATGCTTTATAAAGCTTAATATTTATATTATGTACTGTTAAGTTTTCGGCTGGTGAAAATCATAGATTTAGATGTTTAAAAGATGAACAAAGTTTAACGTAGTCTATGTACAACAATTATTCAAACTAAGGCTGAATTAAAATCGTTGAAAGAACACTTATTAAGCATCAAATTGTCACCTAGGGCTCGTAAATTAAATTTTAAGCAGAACTTGAAGTTCAGTTGCTTTCATTTAAAACATTCTTGGCTGCATATTAAAAGTATAATATGGTATCAGACTTATGTCACCATCAGATGGCAAGCAGCCTTCAATCGTATGGGCTGGTGGAAAATTGACTAGAGCATGTATAGCGAAATTCACTTTTAATTAAGATAATCAATAATGGTGTAATTTGTCCGAAATATTATTTCTACATGTACAAAATGTAGTACCTCTCTCACCGTTGGAAGCAAGGTTTGAAGAGTAATCGATTAACGGTTTATCCACCAGTGGCGGGGCGAAATTTGTTAGATTTGATGGTAGAAACTATTACTCAATTGAAATCAAAATGAGTTTTCGTTATGATAGGAATTGCAAACATTCGGCGTTCGGCCTTGTGCTTTTCGAAAAAATTAAACGTAAACGAATTCTGAGACTCTCAAGTCTTTTTTTTTGTATGCTCCATTATGAAACATCATTTTACCATAATCGTATTTTATTGAAAAATTATGATAATGGAGCCTAATACATTTTAAAAATTACATTCACTGACAAACAATAACAAGTTCTAACCGCTCTAGTTCGTCATGCATAAGAGATAAAGATTTGGGTTAGTGACAAAAGTTGTAGCTAATGTCAAAACCTACAAAAGTATCGTATTTTATTTTATGGCATTCTGTTGATGAAAAAAGTTAGTGGAAATGAATGTATGTGTCCCAGAGGAAAAGCCGGGAAAATACATGGAATTAAATTTCTTCAATCCAGTGGCCACCCTGGTAGTAGAATTATTCCATTTTTCGATCATATCCGCTCGAAAAAGAAAGGTAAAGCGCGAATTGTGATTAGTTGGACGCAAATTAGATCAAAAATCTTATGATGCATGATGCATATTACTCCGAATTCAATTACCTAAAATGATCTAAGCTCACGTAAACAATGGCTTTTAACGCAAATTTCTCAAGAATCAAAACATATACACGCAATATAACAACAACATCTGATAGAGTAAACTTTTTTTTAACAAATATCATTTTTAGTTTGCGAGGTGTGTTTTGATTCTTGCGTCCGTATTTTCACCGCAAAAGAAATTTTCTTTAAAAAGAAAAGAACTATGTGTCAGTTGTTCGAAAATCTTTGAAAATACAGACTGAGAGTTATCCGATGAAATCAAGGCTCGTGTGTTTTTATCATTTTAATGTAGCGGATTCACTTGTATCCTGTGCACATGAACTTTGTTTGTATAATAAAGTATGAGCACATCTACGGTCACACTTGTATAGTTTTAGGATTTGCTCATTATTTATAATACAAATAATGCTCATGTTCACAGTTTATCATACAAGTGCATATGTGGCATAATAAAACAATGACATTCCACATAGTTTAGCCATATGAATGTACGTAAAGTATTAAGTTTGTTATGTTTAAAATATTCGCTGTGAGCTGAGAAACACGCCTTCAATGGCTTCGGAAACGTATCAACGATGGCCATATTTCTTCCCAATTTTTTATAGGTAATTCAGTGATTTGTGATTTGTTCTACAACTTCTTACTCCAGAGTTGTCCAAATTAAAAAAAAAATCTTTGAATTCCAATCTGTCGAGTTTTTGAAGCCCTTTCGTCTTTGGTCAAAATGATCGGAAAAAGACGTTCTCAGAGGCTGATAGTCTTGATCAGGGCCCAATAAAGTCACTTTCAATCGAAAATCGTCAAGCGACGGCGAAGCTGTCAACAATCACTTTCAATTGAAAGTCATTCTGTCTTCTCTTCGAGCAGATTCCCTTCAACATCAACAGAACAACTTTCGATCAATTTTCATGCTGTTTGATTTAACTTGACTCGTGTTCATTTCGTCTTTTATTGTCAAATGAACTTATTTTTGCATTGAAGCGATCCAAATTCGTGCAGTTTTTCTAACTTTTCTTGATTGTACACTCGGTTCATTTAAGCGAATGCGTTTCAATGACGTTCGTATAAGGTCCACACCAACAGGCCGCTTGCTGGTGTTAGAAGCAAAAAGATTGTAAACATTGCTGAGAACTCAAGTGACGACGTCACTCTACCGTAACATTCCATACTGCGAGCAGTTAGATTTACGTCACTGCCAACAGCTGTTTCATGTAAAAAGATAAACGCTGCAATTTATCATTGTCGGATGGTTTGTTTGGGTATTTTTGGAATCGGGGTGCCGTCTAGAGGTTGGAATCGATGACCGACGCCATTTGTAAATCCATGATGTCGGCTTGCGAATTCAGAAAAAGTGGAAAATACTGACGCCGACCCATCAATATGGCTGATTTTAGAATCGGGGTGACGTCTATAGATCGAAAATCGATATGGGACGTCATTTTGAAATCCAAGATTGTGGCTTCCAGTTTATAAAAAGTGGGAAATACTGTCTAATATAATATAGGTATTTTTTTA